GTCTGGGCCGCCTGTGCTCCACCAGAAACCTTGGAAAAACGGTGGTGTAGCCAGCTCAACAATTTGGTCATGCTATGCAAATTTCAAATCATTATCATTATTCATTTCTTTAGAAATTCATTGTTTTCACGGTCTATGAACACAGAAACATTTGCATAGCATGACCAAATTGTCGGGCTGGCTACGCCGGCGTGGAAAAACCATTATAAAGCCATGTTGTTTTTAATCTGTCTAATATGTTTTTGATATAATTTGTAAATGTATTATGTTTGGGCTCATTGTAATTGGCTCCTGTGGACACGTCCTATCAAGCTGTGATGACAACTCAGTCACATCCTTTTCTCATTCTTTTGTATGTATTAATTGTAATCGGCGAAGTTGTATTGATACTGAAATAAATGTAACTAATCTCACTTACATGAAAATGAGGCTCTATAGCTAAAGTTCCTGGAAGGGTCTCTTACATGGACGTAGGAAAGAATTAAAAATCGAAGAAAGGAAATGTCTAATAAATTTCTATAAAATATCTAACAAGGATTTTTCTTTTTTTTTCTTTGAAGTAACCTTTTATTGTGTTAGTATAAGTATCTCTCTCTCTCCTCTGCATAGCAGAGGCTTACATGAATTTCTTCCCATCACTTCCCATGCACTCGCTTTACTGAAGTTATTTGCAAATACTTAAGGAAGCCTTGCAAAGAAGAGAGGTATAAGCATTGGAACAATAACTTAGAAATTTCCTGACCATCTATGTTCATTAACAATCAATTCATAACAAAGAAGATAATGATCCATCATTATCTTTGTTCAAAGCAGGTGTGGTCCCTGCACCATTGTATTGTAGGTCATCTGTTGCTGTCGCTGTTGGTTGTTGTGACAATGGTTGGTTCTCGTTTAGACTTCTTGTGGCTTCCATTTCCAGTATTACATCGTGCTCTCCATGTTGCGTGGGAATTAAACGAGGGCCGCAACATCTTTTTTTAATTCTGTGACAATACAAATATACCAATCCTGCGATGACTAGAAGTAATATCAGCGTGATTGCAGGGATTCCAATAACCATAGTTAGGTCCATCACGCCTTGCTCAGATAGATCGCCTATGAGATAAAGAAAAAAGTGACATGACACGGGTTTGTCAAACATTAATGGCAAAGAAATTCTAGAAAATGACATGCAGTAAACGTCAACAATATAGGAAGAATAAAGGGAGTATAAAACTAATAGAAAGGTTGTCCTATTTTCACATGTATGTAGTTGCTTACTTTCACAGAAAGTTCCATTCCCCTTGAATCCAGTTTTACAACGACAAATGTATGAACCAGGAGTATCCAAACAGTCTGCATTCACATGACATGAAACATTTAAACACTCATTAATATCTGAAAGAGGAAAATGAAAAAAGTTGTAAAAGGAAGAAAACTAAAAAAACAGATTGCATGCAGTTGTTTGATCACTTACTTGCACAGTTTGAAATTCCATCGCCAGAAAACCCAGGATTACATTGACAGTCATAAGAACCTCCATTGTCAGTACAGCTGGCATTGACATGGCAAGGTTTGCTCAGACATTCATCAATGTCTAGAAAACAAGAACAATATACCAATCATGATAATAATTCACTGGTACATTGATCTCAATCAACAGAATCTTATAAACAATGTGAAGTAAAATCAGTTTTGGCTTAATGTACTCCTTTAAACCATACATATGTACTCACTTGCGCAATTCACTCCATTCCCAGAAAACCCACAGTTACATTTACAGTCGTAAGAACCTTCAGTGTCAGTACAATTGGCTTTGTGATGGCATGGGTTGGTCAAACATTCATTGATGTCTAGAAAAAGAAATGTATTAATAATTAGCAGAAAGTTACAAAATTTTACACATGAATGAAAGATTTACTTACTAGAACAATTCAATCCATTTCCAGAATATCCACTATTACATTGACAAACAAAGGAACCTTCAGTATCAGCACAGCTGGCATTGGGATGACATAGGCTAGTCAAGCATTCATTGATGTCTAAAAAGATCATATACTGTAAATAACAAACAAGTGATTCGAAGAAAGGTAAGATATTTTATAGACAATGAATGAAAGACTTATACTTACTAGAACAATTAAATCCATTTCCAGAAAACCCAACATTGCATTGACAATCAAAAGAACTTTCATTGTCAGTGCAGTTAGCATTGATATGACATGGGCTACTCAAACATTCATTGTCTAAAATATTATAAAAATAACAAGCAATATAAAGTGACTAACCGAAATGTGCACAATTTTATCCACACGAATGAAAATTAAATAACTAATCAATTTATATGATCTTGAATTTTCTTGATACTGGTTTCATCAGATATATGCTGCGTTTATTAAAGGGGCAGTGTCACGGCGCTGATGCTATAAAATAAACGGCGCAAAGTAACGTTTAAAATTAATGCTACATGATTGGAAAAGATGCAGCAGTCTTCAATTTTTAAAACAAAGCAAGGATATATGAAAATTAAATAACTAATCAATTTATATGATCTTGAATTTTCTTGATACTGGTTTCATATGATATGCTGGGTTTATTAATTACCAGTTTCGTACTTTTAGTGGTGTTACCATAGAGATTATAAATAACACTAGAGGGGGCAACCGGCATCGAGGGTGAAATTTACGAACGCAGTAATGGGGGGGGGGTAAATTCAAATCCCGGATAAACACCACACAATTCTTGGATTACACTTCAAACCAGAAAAATTTTAAACAAGAGTCAAAACTGGGTGTTTTATATGTTTTGCATGTCGCGAAAATTTGCGAAAATTTTGAATTTAAAAAATTAATTAATTCCTTTTGAAAAGATCAAAATTGCTGACATCAGCATTATTTTGGAGCGCTCTCAAAAATGTGTTACAGACAAAATTGAGATAAAAATCAAAACGGGATTACTTAACTGCCATAAACGAGATTTTGGCTGAAACTCGCTCTTATTTTAGCATTTTAATTAATTTTTTGCCCCCCAATAGCCGCGTTCCCTTTGAATTAAGATTACGATGCCTCCTCTAGTGTTATTTATAATCTCTATGGGTGTCACCCCGTGAAATCTGTTACCCCTCGAATAAAATTCCTTTATGATACCCTGAACTATTGCATTTCCGTTGATGTCCAACATTGCCGTGATGGTTTGTATTTGACACACAAAATCATCTTTTTGAATTTGTTTGCTGAAAATTTTCAAAAAAGTAGGAAATTGAATTATTCAGTTTTGTTTTACCAGCCCCCCCCCCCTGTATTAATAATGAACGGTCCCTTATATCACGGCAGGAGACTTCTATGTGCGCAACATAAATACCAACACAGAGACTGGGCCACTGTGGTCTCTGGTTCCGAGTATCATAGAGGAATTTTATTCGAGGGGTTGACAGCGCCACTTAATTAATAGTGCCCACGCCTTTTAGAAGAACCAGACATAGTACTAACAACTTCCGGCGTTTCCGCCTTTTTACTAACACTAACCCTATTCCAAACACCAACTCTAACCCCTAACCCTAACCCTAACCTAACCTAAAGAAAAAATTTTTGACGAAATGTCATTCTGAGGTCAGCGAAATAACTTTTTCCGAATATAAAGCGGTGCCAAACTTGTCACGGGCACCGCAATTGACCACTTGCGTAATAGACTAAATTTTGATCTCAACAAGTCCAGACAAAAATTTCATCACAGCTTGAAAGAGCATTACAAAATTAGTAATATTCCAAAGTTTCGTTGCGAAATGTTGTAAAATGCGGATAATATAGCCTTGCGAAGTTTGCAATTTTCAGTCATTTTAGATTACAAACGGGAAATTGACAGCCCCATTCAGCCCCATACCTCTCCTCCGCAGAGGCTTTTATAGAATTCGAAGGAATTGAAATTGCGCTAGAAGGTATCTGGTATGAAGACAACCGCTTCTAGCGCAATTTCAATTCCTTCGAATTCTTTAAAAGCCTCTGCGGAGGAGAGAGGCCCCATACCCTTTGGGGCTGTCAATTTCCCGTTCAATACAAAATGACTGAAAAACGGCAAACTTCGCAAGGCTATATTATCCGCATTTTACAACATTTCGCAACGAAATTTTGGAATATTACTAATTTTGTGATGCTCTTTCAAGCTGTGATGAAATTTTTGTCTAGACTTGTTTAGATCAAAATTTAGTCT